ACCACCAAAAGATTTGGCACCCTCGCCATTCGCCTCCTCATAGGCAACCACCTCGGACTCGCATTTTGCCAGCCAGGCAGTGATGTTCTCAAACTTGCTTAAATCGACGACACCAGTTGCCTAAAAACAACAAAAGTGGCTATAAACAATTCAAAATTGAATAAGCTGAACTATTCACCTTCATGGAAGAAACTGAAGCAACACAAGACAAGTCAGCGACCGTCAGTTTATCTCCGGCCACGTAACCGCCATTCTGCTTGATGTAATGGTCCAAAAATCCCAAGCCGTCATCCAATTTCTGCTTCTTTTCCTCATTCAAGGACTCACCGCCAAAAGCAGCGGGGTACTAATGGATATAAAGGTGAAATAATCATTTCCCAGACTCACTTTCATCCTGGGCCCATTCTTGGCAATAATCACATGTAGTGGTGAAAATGTTTTCCAGCATATTTCATTTTGCGTTCACGTTCCTCGTTTATCTTAAGTTTTAGGAAACTTGAGAACTTTTCATTTTATTCACCCTTACTAAGCATATCTCCCATTAAAAAGAAAATATATCATACAAATCATAAGAGTACAGTACAGTACTGTATTCCTTTCGCCTCGACTTCCAGAATGAAGAATTCCTCCGGCAAAAGGAAGCTTATGCTTGTATGATATACTGTTTTTCTAAAAGACTTTCCATTTGAATTACCACACATACAATTTTTTTCTGAAGAATGGAAGCATGTTTTCAATGAAAAAAGCGATGCGAACGTGTTATTAACTTGAAATCCATCAGATTATTTCCAAGCATATTTTGGAATTGAACATTTCGAGAGATGTAAGTATACGCGTGGAAGTCGAAGTTTTGACTCATAGGCGTACAAGGGAAATTTTTGTAGAGAAACAAAATTTTTAAATAAAATGATGTTTGATGCACTTACCACATACTGACCAAAACGGTCGTACAGGACACAGGCATCGAAGAAGAGTAAATCGTCAACCCTGGCTCGTTTTTGGGGATCTGTCGGGTACAATTCATTATCGGGAGCGTATTTGTTCATGAGATACTGCACCGCGGCCCGGCTGAAATCGAAGATAAAAACACCCACGTCAAGAGGCGTCAAAAAGAAACCCGCCCGAGAGGCGACGTT